GTCAGAAGCAGCTAATTTAATGGCTGTGAAGTCCAAAAAGGTGCATGTTTTATGCAGTTGGTTTGGTTGGGGTCCGGTCTGTATTCACACCAGAAGCGAACTGAAGTAAACCGCACCAGAGTTCGTTTGGAAGCGGACCGAGACCACCTCAAAAAGCAGGTCTCGGTCCGGTTGTTTGATCCGCACCAGAGTTCGCATGAGTGTATTCACACCTGCACAAAAGGTCCGGACCAACGCTGGAAACGAACTCTGGTTCGTTTAAAGCGGAGCAAATTATCAGGTCTGAATACGACCTTAAACAAGAAAAAAAACTTATTAAAGAGCGAGCCTCAGAAAGGACATGAACTGAATTTGCACTTTGGTGTGGATTTAGACAAGTAGGTTTCAAGGCTGGTCCTCAAGGGCCACAAACCTGCATGTTTAAGTTGTTCCACTGCTCTTCAGCTCATCTCCAAGGTCTGCAGAAGCCTGTTAAACACTCATTCATTCAAACCAGGTGTGCCAAAGCAGAGAAACAGTGGCCCTCGAGGACCAGGTTGATCCAGACCATAGAAACATTTAAACTTGTCTTCAATCGTTGATCAACAACTGCATTTGAAACTTGCCTACATTCAGTGCTTTTGTAGGTCCTACACCTTGGAGATGAGCGTTCTCAGTGACGTCATCAAACACATCAAACACTATAAAACAAACAAGAGATTAAAAAATGCTGAGTATTTTAAAACTGATGGAAAATTTGAACAGTTGGATGTTTTATCATGATCCTGATGAAGGTCAAAAGATGAAACGTTAATTGGTTAATTGGGAAGAACGTCTTCGTTTATGTACAGTCTGCTGTTAAAGCTCCTTAAATGAATCTTGTTCCATAGATGCAGTATTTTGGAGGATTTTATTCAGCAGGTTAAAGTAAACATTGCAAGAAGCCCCAGATCAGGACATATTGTCATAACAACTAACTCAGTGATGCACCTGTACAAGCTAATAAAACTGATTGGTGGATTCTGGATTCAGAGTGTTTTCAATGACCAGAATAAAAAACAAAAAATAAATAAAAAATTAAAAACCTGCTGCAGACATTCGTCAAAATAAATTCTAGCAATAATCCACTTTTAAATACCAACTGCTGCTCACACATTATTGATGTTGTAAATAGTGCAGGGCGTAATATAAAAAGTGCCATTCCCAGTGACGAACTGGTCACATTTGTTTAACTGCATAAAACTTAACAGTTTTGGTGCGCTGCCATTGCTCACATCAGCATCCTTTCCAGACACAGCAGACATCTGTTTCCAGCAAAAAATACCTCTAAAACAATGACTGCACAATATGAGATGAGCACCAAAAGTAGCGCCTCAAAAAGGTGGAAACTGGCTGATAAACAGGGAAGATCAAAGCAAAAAKGGGGGAAAGGCAAACAAACATCATGCCAGCGCTCATTGACGGATTGATTAGAGCCACRAGTCCAGATGAATACTACTGAGTCTGTGTTTACTGGATGTGTAAAGTGACAGTTTGGTAACAAATATTCCACAGCTTGCTAACAGCTTCATTAATATAAGTTGTTTCAGCGTTGCCTGTAAACTACCAACACATTAGCAATGTCAACAGCAACTTAACGCCTTCATCTTGCTCCATGGCTATTTGGCTGGTTCTGTTGTTGGCAACACATTTTTTTTAGTTACACATGTTTAATTTAAGGACACGATAACCATGGATATGAGACACGTGTTGTGCGGATTCTGTTTATTTGTGATTTTCCTCTCACCAGACTTTGTGATTTTGCAGCTGCCAAAACGAGAAACAAAACACAGAGTTCCTAAAAGCTGCGCAAAGTTTTAGGGTGGATTTTATTTGCCTTGACGTGCAACTGACAAATTCCCAAACCTGAGAAGTCAAGATTTCAAACGACTGAGTGGAGAGCCATCRATCTGTGGGTTACACAGGCAGCTGTATGACAAGATGTTCTTAGATTGATTTCTTTTACCCAAAAGCGTCGTCTGCAAACCAAAAACACTGCAAAAACTGTCCATCTTACCAAGTTTTAAAATCTTATATCCAGCCAAAAAGTCTTTTTGATCTTGTTTTGAGACTGATTTACTAAACAAGAACCAATTGTGTAAGAATAATAATCTTGTTTTCAGAATGTGTAAGATTATTTGTCTTGTTAGCCTGAAATTTTGACACAAATTAAGTCAAAAATTTCTGCCAATGGATTTTTGATCTTGTTTTGAGACTGATTTACTAAACAAGAACCAATTGTGTAAGAATAATAATCTTGTTTTCATAATGTGTAAGATTATTTGTCTTGTTAGCCTGAAATTTTGATACAAATTAAGTCAAAAATTTCTGCCAATGGAGTAAGAAATTTTTACTTGGTAAGATTCTTTAAATAAGAACAAATTGAGTCAAATAAAATATTTCAAGAATCTTACCAAGTAAAATATTACTCTAATGGCAGAAATTTTTGACTTTATTTGAGTCAAATTTTCAAACTAACAAGACAAATAATCTTACGCATTCTGAAAACAAGACTATTATTCTTACACAATTAGTTCTAATTTGGTAAATCAGTCTCAAAACAAGATCAAAAAGACTTCTTGGCTAGATATTAGATTTTAAAACTTGGTTAGTTGGACATTTTTTGCAGTGCCATGTGTGTTGTTAGGCTACAGAATGTAGGAATGGATGTATTGATGAAGCCAGTGGACCATTTTTATGGTGCTTCTAAACAGGTCTAGCAACATGGAGGGAGAGGGTGGGGGGGCATGCACAAAAATACCAATAGATCTTAAAACTTATTGTACGTGGACAGGCTCACCACCGTCCTCACCTCTCGAGTGTGACTGATTCCACTGGTCTGACTCATGCTGACAGCTTGTCCTGCCTGCCTTAAAGTCATGGAGGGAATCATTGATTATCTATGCAGTAGCACACATCCCCCAACGCTGCAGAGTTTGGAGTTATCTATAAAACAGGTTGCTCTGACTTGTTGGTAACTGCCCCCCTCCCCTCCATAAAATTCTTTGCTCAAATCAAACCATTTTGTCAAAGAGAAATGTGCTTGATTGTGATAGCTTGCTTCGTGCCTCTAAAATGTGGTTGCTTTGAAATTCAGAAGGAAGAAAAAAAACAGCTTTTCGGTTCGTCTTTGAATGATACAAAGACTGAAGGCTGTCACTATGGAGAGCAGTTTCAAATTAGAAACRTTCCTAAGGCGCAAAATAAGACATGGCTGCTGCAAGTGACAGAAAAAAACAGATTTCCACAGCATAAAGTTGAGTTTCAAACAGTGGGAATTGAAATTAAAAAGGAAAAAGAAAAGCCTGCTTGTTTGGGTAATGGGGTGGGAGAATAGGGGAACACTGTTCTTGCAATAATGAAGTGCAATCAATGAGGCCTCACTCTTACTACAACTGCACTCTATCACACTGTCACCGAATATTGCGTCCTATTGCTAAATGAATCAAAAGTCTTCATTAGGGCTCTCTTGTGAGCAGGGAATTGTACACAGATTGATCCTGTAATGATGGATGGCTGAGAAGGAACCATTTAAACCAGATTGTAACACAGGATGACTGCTGGGTTCTGCAATCACCTCCAAAGAAATAATGCCACTTTTTCATTTCTAATGTGGAATTCCTAAAGTCAATAATAGAATAACCGAACTAATAATATGTTAGATCTTTAGAGAGAGCTCACTTTTAATATATTTAAGTCATTAAAAAAACATGCACAGAGGTATTTTAATTCCAAACATTAAACTGAGGCATGCAGAGGTGCGGAGCTGAATGAAGATAGTTTACAAGAATTAATTGAACCACTGAGGCGCATTAAGCAACAGGGCTGAGGGATGCGCGTCATGTACACCCCGGGTGATTGCATGTTCAAGTCAAACTAATGAGGCAGATGATATATGTATATAGTTGTGCCACCTCGGATCCTGGCAGGCAAGTACAACAAACTCCACCCGATCAGACGAGCTGAGAAGTGAGGATATTAAAGAAGARGAAARGGGGAAGTTTGAGGAGAAACTCACGGTGCTGAAATTGCGCGGTCCGCACTGTTCTCCCTGATACCGACAATACAGCAGCATCTCCTCCAGCTGGTGACCCAGCCGGTCCAGCAGCTGCCTCATGGACGGCTGGGACTCCCGAGGAGGAGGGAGAAAGTGTTTAAAGTCCAAGATTCGAGACAGCGAGGACCAGGGCGGCTCTGTCCCTGCGCTCCCGCCGCCTCCTCCTCCTCCTTCACCCCGCAGGGTGATGAGCGCCTCCTTAGCAGCGGGGGATACTTCCCAGTCCACCCCCAGCAGCTCCAGCCACCTCCCCGCGCTGAATATGTCCGTCTTCTTCATGCGCCGCGGCAGCAGGAGGTTCTGGTTGCAGATGGTGACGGCGGGGAAGACGAGCCGCTTGGCGTACACCATGTGCGCCTTGGTGTAGACCGGCGACGAGAGCAGGTAGCGCACTCTGTTCGAGGACCAGGTGAAGAGCAGAGCCACCGCCGCCAGGAAGGCGAGCAGCCACGCAACTCTGCGCGGGTAGGAGCCGCTGAGGAAGATGTGCCTCAAGCCGTGCAAGGTGGTGTGCTTCAGGAAGAGTTTCCCGGCTTCGGCGAGAGAGCCCGGGCTCGGCTTCGATCCAGAGGACGGGCACATTTTGGGGGAAAGCTGGCGCGCGCTCTCCACATCGGTGCCGCTTTTTGGTTCAGAGAGAAGACGTGTCCAAAAAAAAAAAAGGTCGCCTTTTGCGCGCGCAGAAGGCTGCTGCTTGGCAGAGACTTTGAGGGAATGAAAGCGTAAAAGGCGCACGCAGCTCCTTTCCCCCCAGCTTCTCCCAGGCACCGAGMAGCAGCAGCTTGAGGCGGTGATGGGGGAGTATTTTTTCAGCTGCGCAGCGCTCCCTGAGCGCGTCCGGGAGGTGGAGATGGAGGTGGTGGGGGGGAGTGAAGTTAGTCAGAAGGATTTAGTGCGTTAATGTGCAGCAACAGGAGTCCAGGGGATTATTTAATCTAAATTACAAACATATTCTCAGAAAATCTGAATAAATTCCAAACAGATTTAATCATAATTGTATTTCAGAACACGTTTTATGTCTGGCTTCCAAATTGTCTATGCACCTGCTCTTCACTGTGCACACC